GGCGAGGCCGGTCCTCCTCCCCCCCGCCCACCTGGCTCCAAGGAGGAGGCGGCGGCGGCGAGGCCAGCTACAGAGCATTCCCTGCGCATGCGCAGGGGACGCTCTGTCACTTTCGGGGGGATTTAAACATCCCCCCGAATTTTTTTTCAACTTTTTCGATTTTTGTACACACGTGGGGACTGGCCCACGTATGCACAAACCTCCCCCTCCCCCCCAAGTGCCCCCGAAGCGCTGATTTAGCGATCCGCACTCAGGGGGCAACTTGGCTATTAGATATATAGATGGTATCAGATTGATCTAATTTCTGTGCACTGAGGACAAGCCAGTCCTAGGTTACAAACTGAACTCTCCAATGCAAGAACAAGATGCATTTCTTCCTTTAGGAGGTGCGATTGTCAGAAGAAAATAAAAAAGTTTCAGTTTTGTTTTTGCATGTGGGTAGGTATTCTGTTTGAAATAATTGTTTGGATACACTATATTTCTAATATGCTAGTTGTGATAATTTCATGCCAAGTAAAAATATCCATAGTCATATTTTATGTTCCTAAAGTAACAGAATGACTTTCAATCTAGAAAAGACAAAAGAAATGCTAATGTAGCATTTTTTTCAATTTTTCCAAAAATTTCCGTTTTTTTCCGGAAAGTGGGCAGGGGAGGGTTTTTTCCGAGCTTCAAAATTTCCGGAAATTTTACATCTCTAGTTCCACCAGGCCTGTGGTTGAGGGTGGCAATAGTTACCTCATCATTCCCTTTCCCACCTACCCAGAAAAGGGGCTCTGGCAGTCCGGAACTGGGGCGAACAATATTATAGGGAACTCGCCACCTTGGATCCTTTTACTTGTACTGTAATTTCTACTGAGTGATAGGCTGAATTTTAATATTTTGTATATTTTACGGCATTATGCCTTGTACATCGCCCAGAGCCTGGCGTAAGCTGATGGGGTGATTAATGTCAGCTAGGCCTCTGGGTAGTCCTGACTGCCACAAAGGTGGGAGGGGGTGACTCAGGAATGTCTACTTTCGATTCTGCAGTGCCTTCGCTGGTTTTATTATCTCAGTGAATTATGCTGTCTGACCTTGGGTACCTGGTGTAGTCTTCTAGCGTCCTGGCCCCACTGGTGGACCTCCTGATGGCACCTGGTATTTTCGGCCACTGTGTGACACAGAGCGTTGGACTGGATGGGCCATTGGCCTGATCCAACACTGGCTTCTCTAAAGTTGTTGTATTCTCTTGGGAATTGCAGCCCGTTTCTTTGGCGGGCGCCTACCTGTCGCCTGATTGGCCGGGCGCCGTCAGGGGAACGCCCTTGGATAATGTATGTCTGCTTGCTTCGCACGTTCCCCCCCCCCCAGTTCTAACACGAAATAGTTACGATATCTGCGTACTCTCAATGTCTCAATAAAATTTTACTTCTTTGAATGAAAGCTGTCGGGGACGGATCGCTGCAGGAGTCTGACAATTAATAAACCTAAATAACAACAACAGCAGTTTGAATTCACACGTGCCCTCAAAAAGGGTAACAAAGACCTTCCCGGCAGTCCGAGAAATACCGAGAGACGGGGTGGGGGGAAAGTACGCTGCCTTACCAGGGCGAGGTAGGCCTTGGTCACCATCCGTTCCTTGAAGCACTTGTAGGCGCTCCCGGCCGCCGCTTTGTTGAGTGCCACGCAGAGGGCCCCACTGGTGGAGAAGTCCAGCTGGTGGCAAAACCTGGGGGGGGGGGGGGAGAGAGGAAGAAAAGGGGCCCACAT